AAGAAGGGTTGGACTCACTACACAGGAGCAAAGGTGGCAACTGGACCTGAAAGAGATTGGATGGTCATTCCAGGACAAGGACTGAAAGCCACATTTAAAAGGACTTGAATGGGTGGTGGACCAGAACTCCTATCTGTTTTGAACATCTCTATTAGAATTCCAGGTGACCCCAGATGAGGAACAAAGGTGTTGGTGGTGACTCATGAGAGAAATAAAAGTGGTTTGTTACAAATAAAACCAATAACTGAGTCAGAAGTCACACCATTAGAAACTGAAAATGTAGAATTGTAAACTGTAAGAATTAAGTGGTAAATGTGTGTCTTTTTTATTGTCAATGTGGTTGCTGCTGCTATTATTGTTGTGATGGACCAATTTGTGGGTGTGGAACACTGTGTAATAATCATGAGGGGGTGGATTCTAATTCTAATATTACTAAAGACAACACATCAGAGCAGTCTGGGAAGTGAAGATAAAAATTTGTTTTTGGGATTTAGAGATGATATTCATGAAGCAGTAATTGATATTACGCAAGGAATCAGGAAAGTGGCTAAAAGCTCCTGAATAAAAGTATGAAAATATGTGGGGTGATTGGAGTTTGTTAACTAATTGGCTTCCCAACATGGAATGGTTAAGACAACTGTTTCTTGGCCTGATATTTTTAGTGGTGATAGGACTTATGTGTTGTGCATGTCTGCAATGTATTCCTCTATGTGTCTCTGCTCTAACCAAAGCTGTAGGAAACACTTTAGCAAAACCTTAAGAAAAGAAGAAATTATACAATTAATAGTTGTAAGATTTTCTAAGCAAGATAATGAAGACCTTTCAGAATAATAAAAATTAAAAGGAGGGATTTGATAGGAATAAGTGAATGGTCTTCAAAATTCAATATTGAAAGAAAAATTTAAAATTGAATCTGCTGTGTAGTGGAAACTTACTGAGACAAACAAGCTCACCAAAGAAACTACAATGGATGGGAACCAGGAAAGGGTAGTGTTGAAAGAATAATCTTAATCAGGGTCCAGTCCAAGCCAGGAATAAACAAAATGGAGACTGCTTTAGAAAGAAGGTTGTAGTTTTTTGAAGAGCAGAGCCAGACAGAAATGTGGCTCTGGGAAAGCTGACCCATGTAGCTGGAAGTGGTGGGTTTTTATACCTTCTTGGGCTTTTGTGTTTGGAATTGTTCCTGTGGCATGAACTTTGACCTGAGCTTCAGTATGCCTTTCTGGTATTCTAATGGTGGTGGGTTAATCCTATTATGTCCCAAAAGTCATATCCTGCTTCCCTGTGGCTGTGGCTGATGACTATGTCCTAGTCATCAGTGTTTGGTTTCTTTGGGTGAGATCTTTGTCTTTCTAATTCCATCATTCTAAGCTTCCTGGCTCCAATCTTTCTGAAAGGATTATCACATCTTCATTTCTACAGACCTGGTTCCTGCTTGGGGGAGAGGGGCTGGGGCTGGTTTCTGGGGGCTGGTTTCTGTCTTTTAAGGTTTTCTTTCTCCATTACTGTATTCCTTTGGGAAATATAATATTCTGCTTTTTAATATTCCACAAAATATTTCTTTCTCTGAGGGGGTGTGTGCTGTCTTCCTACAGTAGCATAAGGGAGCATGAAAGATAAACATGTAGGCAAAATTATTATCTGGGTCTTCAGAGTGGGAAAAGGAAGAACACAAGTTGTAAAAAACCATTGTAACAGGAAATGGCTGGCCAGGGAAGATTAAAAACTGATAAACGGGAAAGAATCTATTTTTCTAAGAAGTCATAAAAAATGGGGCCCAGAACTGAGAACAGATACTGTAACTGAGCATAGGTAACTGATTAATATTTTTTGACACACCTTGCATAATTTATCTCCTAATTTTAATGTATATGTGATGTATGATTTAGTATGTAGCAGGAAATATGTAGGAGGCGGTCGGAAAGAGTGTAACCTCATAGTACCTCAGCCAATGGGGAATGAGGAGGGATGTGGCAGTCGGGACAAGGTTGTATAAAGAAGCGAATATTTTGGATTGGAACTTTGGAGAGAACCAAGCTTTAATAATTTCTCCCCCTGCTTATTGCAATAAATGAAACAAAAGGCCTTCACTGTGTCTTGGCTGGTTATTGGTCAGGCGAGCTTGCCTCTGGTCACGAAGAAAAGTAGCCAGGAGTACATAACAGTAAGATTTTGGAAGTGGCTTGCTATTGCCTTCTTTCTGGGGCTGAATGACAGTGATTGGCCCAATGCCACCCAGCTGGCTTTGTACCCAAGGTGGGATGAAAACTCATGGTCTTGTGGTTTCTAGTTTAGTAACTTAACATTACATCGAATTGGTTGTCCACTGGATTTTGCCTGAGTTGAATTAACATTTAATACATTGCCTTTTTAGCAATGTTAGGCACCTGGTACAAGTCGTTGAATGCTGGTTAGACTGCTCATCGAAAGTGATTATATTTCATGCCACCTAGTTATTTTTAAATACATGTTTTATGTTGAGAACTCTTGGGCCTTTTCTATGTAAATTTGGAGTGTTACCATCCTAGTGCTTATTCCCAGGAACATCCCTCAAGTGTTTGGGAGCCAGTGAGCTGAAGCACCTGTGACCTTGGATTGTTAGGCTCCAGGGTGCTTAAAAAAATATCTGACATCATATTACTGTATACAGTTCCACTGATCCGAAGATCACCATTGTCAAAATCTGTTCTGCTACTTAAAACAATTCAACATCCCAGAGATGGGTCCTCTCGTGTGGCTCTCCCCCCTCCCGATTCCATTCATAGCATCAACCATCATCACAGGAAGAGATCAAAAATACATACTTATGTATATAGTTGTTCTGTTTCTTGCGTTGGTAGGCATTGAAGAGGCAGGAGTAACAAACAGGTACTTCTTTATTTCAGGCTAAACAGAACTTCAACAAAGATGGCTCCCCCCTATTTATACATTCAGCTTGGGGTGGTGTCAGCCAATGAATGCAACGTATTCTCCCGCTCAAATGCATACTAGTCAGCCCTATCAGACAGCAAGTCTGGCCCAGCAGGCCACGTGGTCTGCTAACGGTTTCAGAGCAGCTCCCTGCACCTGTTCCCAATTAAGCTCAGTACATTACAATAGTTATCCAGTTTCTATGGCAGATTGAAATTATGCCAGATTGAAATGATGGGCAACTTTGTTTCTCCCTGGAAAGAAAACAGACAGAAGTCTGAGAGGTCTAATCAGCTTGTACCAGGTGCCTAATAGTATTAGGAAAGCAATGTGTTAACTGTAAGTCAAAATCGAAGGGACACTCCAGTACAAACAATCGCACCTTCTAGGCATTCAGCCAGACATAATTTTGGACAGCCTCTTATTCTTCTGGAAACAGAAAGTAAAGCAAAAAGTAGAAGTTGCAAAAGAAGGAAGGTGAGTGAAACAAGTTTTAATGTTATTGGTTGTTTGCTTGTTTTTTGTTTTATTTCCAGTTAAGATAATTGCTTTAAAAACTATTCCATTGTAAATGTTTGTTTAGAAGTGTTCCCTCTTGCCCAGAAAACAGAAAGGCAAACTGAGGCAATAGCATTAATCTTGGGAGACTATACTTAACAGTAACAGGGGTGAGTGTGGCCATTGTAACTTCAAAATCGGGCCATAAGTAGCTTTTGGGAAGGGTCAGTCGTAAATCTGGTCATTAAGCAACCATTTGTAAGTTGAGGACTGCCTGTAATCTAGAGAACCTAGATTTCACGCTATATATTTAATACTGGGATATTTATAGAAAAATAGTACAATATTCTTTTTTTTTCTTAAAGAGGAAGAAGACTAAGAGCACAAT